ATCAGATTTTTCTGCTCAAGCTTGTGTCTTTAATTACATTTACTCAGGAGGATGCTGGGATGAGGCGTCATTCAGGACTTTTACTGGTTTTAAACCACTTCAAGCGAACAGCTTGGGGACGTTTTCCGCCTCACTTCTCCTTTAGAGTTCCAGTTTCTGATCTTCTCCAGTTTTATCTTTTACATTTGAGGACTTCTTTCTTGTAAAGATGTTACTGCAGATATGGGTTGGGCTAAATATGTCCCCCCACCCACCCCCCCCAGGGCAAAGGTCACGGCTGGTCGCTGCCCCTCCTGTCCATGCTGACGTCCGTCCCGCTGTGGACCATCATCATCACCCAGATGTGCTCCAACTGGTCCTTCTACACGCTGCTCACCTCCCTGCCCACCTACATGAACGACATCCTGCACTTCGACCTGCAGTCGGTGAGGGACGGTTTTACTGCCGTTCGCAAAAGGAACGTTCTTCGGAATGTGGGGGGAAAAAAATTTTAAAAAGAAAAAAAAAAGTTCAGAAAAATCTCTCAGTGAAGGAAATCTTATAATAAATTTATTGTTGTCTCACATTATTAGAGTAAACTGCGGTTTTCGGTTATTGCAGAATATATAATTTAATCATTTAACAATTAATATAGATTAAAATTACACTGAAATATTTATGATACTGTCTTACAGAATACTGACACCTGCTGGACATTTAAAGACACTACAGGCAGCTGATTTGACAGACTAAACTGAATTTATTTCATGACTTAGTACAATGATATAATTTAGGTTATTGTATGTTATATTCTATTATTTCATATCTATGCTTAAATGTATTTTTGATATTTTTAGATGCAGCCAATAAATAATGTAAACATGTATCATAACGTGATAATTTAGGGGAAAATGTGAATGAGGATGCTTGTGGACTAGGTTTTTAAATCATATCTTTAAAACAATAAATACAGTACAAACATTAAATAAATTAAGTCAATTTGAAATCAACTTTAATTCAGATAAGTTGAGTAATAAATGAGAGGAAAAGGATGACACTATGAGAAAATTAAAATAAAAACACAACGGCTGAAACGTTCCTGTTCCTTTTAGGCTCCAAATTGTTGATCATTTTAACGATAAACCGCAAAAGATGAGAGATTTTTTTTTAGCAGG